TTTGTTTCGTAGCTATGAAAGATAATAAGTAATAGGTTTTGGGTGTGTTTGATTTACGAAATTTACGATTTATGAAAGTCAATACCCAATATTAAAATTTAATTGGTGTTTATCAATAATATTAATGGAAAAGTTCAAATAGAAAATTTAGATTGTGAGTTCGATCTACCATCTCTACATGTTGATGTAAAAAAAAGTTTAACTGGATGGATGATAGTATATAGTAAATTTCTGTAATTTGTTTAGTAACGTATCCCAACTAATCTCACATGTATGGCGATCATGAGGTTTGATCTCATTTCCTCTCAATTTATTCTAATTCCTTTAGACCAATGAATCACCCCATGATGATTTGAAGTGTGTTCATATGTTGAATAGGTTAAGTACTTTTAAACACAACTTAGGTATGTTTGGCTTGTAAATTTATTCAACTCAAATAACTCCTAAAATATTTATTTACATGTTTTTTAATCTTAAATCAAGATCAATAAGTTAATATTTATTGGTACGATAACAAATCAAGATCAAAAACTTAAAAAGTTGTTTTAAAAGTGGTAAGAGAATAAATAATCCAGAAATAATTATTGAATGAAATAAAATTAACCTAAATATTACCATATTTAATTGTATGATAACTAAAAATTATTTTAACAAAAATAATAAATTAAGGTTGGTTGAATCCAAATTTATTTTAAGTAAAATATTCCCTAATTTACCCGTTCATATTTGGGCTTGGCTGGAAGGTGATAGACAGCTGGACTTTTCGAGGCCCAAAATTGAATAGGAACTGCAATCAGCAGAAAGGCAAGACTCGAGGCGGGCAGCTAATTATCATAATGTTGCTAAATTTTGTGTCATTTATCCAAATTTATACAAAAAATGACATTTTTGTCATGCGGGAAAACGAAATTAGTAAATTACAAATCTGTGAATGAAATTGTGACCATTGATTTTGACACGAAATAGAAATTATAGACACGGGTGTAAGCAAAGTTGGTTCTAATCATTTTCTTTTCTTTTTCTTTTTTCCTTTTTATTTTTTGACAAAAACTAACTTGGAACTGATGTGTGAATTTGAGGGGTTTTTTTTCCCTTAAATAATGAAAAACGAATCAATTACCTAAAAAAACAGATCGAAGTTGAATAAAAGGTGAACAAAATCAAAGCTAGTTAAATATTTTCTTAATTTGAAATTATATAAAACTGAATACAAGTATAGAAATTAACAAAGCCAGGCTGGTAATCTAAGTCCAAGTGACTTGGAGGCGCGATTCGTCATGGCGGGGTGTCTTCACCTACAAAGTAAACGACCCATCAAAACTCTAGAAGGCCTAGCAATGTCAGAGGGGCTTAAAGCGTTGAATCGACTACGAATCTGCCTCACAGAAGCTGCTCTGATTGTTGAAGATATCTGGAAGGAGGCATAAACCCTGCAACTTGAAGGGTTTAGGCACATTTCAAAGAAGGAAAATAGTGTGGCGCACGATTTGGCAAAAAAGGCGAGGAGAACGTTTCATCTTCTTGGGTCTTGAAATGTTCCACGTGACTAGTTAATTTATTGTTTGTTGATACTTATTAATTTCTTCTGTTGTATTGATTCAAAAATAAATAAATAAGATACCTATTAATATTAAACTATATAAAAATAAAGTCAAATGGAGTGAGGTCCTTTTATTTTTTTTTAATCTTTGACCTCCAAAAAATAATAGACATCATTTATTGATAAAATATATCGATGTTCGCATAACTTAGCAAATTGGGTATGGTTGAGTTTTTACTATCTTAATTTACACCCAACTTTATTTTTTTGTTACCCAAAGTAAAATGCTATCATCGCATTGATATCAAATTTTATTTTTTTGGTTTTAGAAAGCTTTTGCAATCTTAGTTTTTCATTTTTTTTTCTTAAAAATAAATGTCTTTTAGTTTTAATAAGAACAAAAAAATTACTGAAGGTAATTATATTTTTTTATTAAAAAAGAAAACACAAAAGATAAGAAATATGCCCATTAAGAAATAGGTCCACAGTTCTAAAAAACATGTCTATAGACAACCTCGTCAACATTCCGTTAGTTAACTTTAATAATTTTTTGGAACTATTTTCTAAAACCTACAGTGAAACTGTTACTATATATATTTTTTTAATCCATATCCAAACTCAGTCAAATTTTTTTCGAAGGGCCACCAACCAAATCATGAACGGGATCGTTCACCTTTTCGTTTCCAAGGATTCCTTCTGTCCTTTTTTATTTTATAATTTATAATTTATAATTTAATAATATGAGTATTATTTTTTGTCATATTTATTTCCTTGAAAGCTAAGGACCAGCTCAGCCGAGGCAGTTGTCAAACCAAACTTTTATTTTATTTTAGTTTATCTAATTAAACAACATACCTTGCGTATCACGTTCAAAATTTAAAAATTAAAAAATATCAAATTTCACAACTTTAAAAGCCAAAGGGCTTCCACTGGCCTCAAGCCATTTTACAAGGAGACCTCTCCCATGAATCCATGATGGCCTCTCTCTCTCTCTCTCCCTCCTTTCTTTCTTCCTCTCTCTCTCTCTCTCAAATTTGATTTGATTTTTTTTTTTATATTTTAGTTTAAGTTTAAATATTATTTAAACCTCTATCTTTTTTATTTTAGTTTATTTTCAGCTCTATAGTTTCGATTTTTATTCCTTTCAGGTATTTTATCTCATTTTTATATTTAAACATGACACTTCATTTATTAAATTTTTTTAAATAGAGACAAAATTAATCATGTTTTAATTACAAGGTATATAATGAAGCAAATTTAAAAGTATGTTGATTAAAATGAACCAAATTGATCTAAAATCCCTTTCATTTATTTTATTTTGATAATTTGATGATATTTATTGAAGTGAGAAGGGGAGGACAATGATGAAAACAATGCTTTTGGTTCGCTCGTCGTGCGTAAGGGCAAATATGCCTTGTCGAGACTTTGCATTTATCTCTGTCTGAGTCCTCTTCTCTATATAATTTTTTTGTTTTTTATTATTATTATTTTATTTTGATCAAATTAAAATATAATTGAGTTTTCTTTGATGAGGAATTTTATTTTTTACTTTTTAGAATTAAGATAATTTTTAAAAGAAGCGGTTTAAAAAGTTTAAGCCAAAAACTAAAAAGGGTAGCCAAAATATATCTTTTAGGTCTTTAAACTAACTAAAATCTTAAAAATGTTTTCAAAATGAGAAACTTTTTTTTAAAGGGAAAAGTACAATGTTTACTAGTATACTTGGGTAGGTGAGTCAACTTTAACCTTAGAATTTTAATTTCATTAATTTAAACCATGAACTTAAATAGTGTTGCAATTAATACCTCCTCAAAAATAAATTTATTAATTGTCTCTTATTCAAGTTTAAGTTTAAATCAATGATTACATGAGCTTAGCTCAACTGGTTAAGATACCTATCTTCGACTAAAAGATTTCGAGTCGAATTCTCACTCTCACATGTTTTTGTATTAAAAAAGAAAAAAAAACATCACACATCTAAGTTTAATGGTATGGATCAATTGAGTACCTTTTTGACCTTTTTTTTATAATTTAGAGGAATTAGTTACTAAGATACTGGTGGAATTTGAAATCATTCCCTCTCAATTAACCTAATCTCTTAAGACCAATAAACTACCTATGATGATTAGTATTTATGTTTTATTTATTCTATTGCAGAATATCCAACCATCAACAAAAATTGTAGGCTCGAATTTCATCTCATACCATGTTGTATTAAAAATAAATAAATAAATGATAAAGAAAATAGACTTCACACCGAAGCCAAGAATCATTTTCTGAAGACATAAGAATAAGAATAATTTTGCCATAACTTATAAGAAATTTGATCTTTCAATTATTCTTCCAAGTAACCAACCCAACAATTAAAAAGCAGAAGAAAATATTAAATTTAAAAAAAAAAACTGAAATGGAAAATAAATTAAAAATGTGTTTGAATTAACTTCTCTAAAATTATAATTTTAGAGGGTCAAAATCATATTTTTTAACTCTAGACTACTTGATAACTAATAAAAATCACTTTTACAATAATCAAATTGATTCAAAATTAATTTTCGAAGAATCATTATAAAGTTAATTATCCCATATCACTTTATGAAAATTTATCATTCGTAGGATCCCTTTAAAAGGTAGTACAACTAATAAATTCGTGACCAAAATCACATTTACGAAAATATAACCAAATACACAAATATTTTAAATAAATTTATTCTATAGAAACCGTTTCAAGAAAAAAATATATTTTTTAAAAAATAATTAAATAAAAAATGTATATCAAGCTCACATTGAAAGAACCGTTTACAAACCCGACCATTACCAAAGGGATAATTAAAAAATAAAAAGGCCAATTATATTAGAAAGGGTTGGAGACAACACAAAACAATAACCATTTCCATTAAGACTCTTTACAATTTAACCAATGCACATTTCTACAACCTCCGGGTAGGAAGCTAAGTAAAGACTACGTAGGAAGCAACTCAAACCACCGTCTTCCACAAAACCAACCTGAAAACTTTTCGTTATGTCTATTCTTCTTATAAGTACAATCAACAATGTTACTGGAATTTCCTATGACTAAGAACCACCCGAACATTACCGTGGTTCAGTCGAGACTTTTCGGACGAGTCAGGACCAGAAGGTGAAAGCTAGGAAAACTGTTCTTACCCGGAAGTTCCGCGAGAAGGACTTCCTTGATTTTCCAAGAAACGAACAACGACACAAGTAATGTTGTCTGCACTGCCTCTCTGATACGCTTCCTGCATCAACCTCTTCGCTGCCTCTTCTGGGTCCTGGATCGGTTTAGTCATTGCAACAGCTTCCTGAAAAGGCATCGAGACGTTTCGTAAGCTTTGCAGTTTGACATGAGGACCGATCATCCAGATTTCGAGAAGTTATGGACTTTTTTCTAAAACTCAGATTTTGACATCAAAATCAACAGTTTTATATTGGCATTAAAGAAATGAAAGAACTTGCAAACCTCGTTAGAGACGACATCCCACAGCCCATCACTTGCAAGTATAAGAAACTCGAGCGAGCTATCAATCTTTTCCTCCTGTAAGTTAAAATTGTGGAGTTTAAACACAGGGATCCTAATAGATCTGTATTTTAGATACAAATTCACATATATCATACGTTAAGGTTTTTATCCATAGCTTGGTTTATAAATGGTTTATAATTCTAAAGTGATAGTAGTTTCAATAAATAAGAAAGAGAAGATCTAAGATTTTGGAAAGGAATTTTCATAGTTGGGTCCCAATAAGGGAACCAACCCAGAGAAGGATTTGACAAAAATTCTCCCTTAGTGTAAATTAGCCAAAATCCCAACCAACAGGAAAGACAATTGGCAATTGAAACTCTTTCCAAACCAGACTGCCGTAATTGAACGAGTTTTACCATTTAAAAATTCGGACTTCTCATCAGTGCCCATATTTGAAAAAAATATTCTAATTCTAAACTTATTTGTTTTCTCTAATTGCGTAGCTGGATGAATGAATCTAGAATATTGTGGGGTTGTTACTACTCCTCTGTAATTCATTATGCATATGATGCAAATTGGTTTTAATGTCGATATTCCCCGGGTTGATAACGGACAAAATAATTCAAAATTGCAAAGTATGTACAATATAGTAATTGCCCTGATTTCTTTATTTTCATCATAATGCAGTGAACCAACGTTCATATGAATAGGCATGCTGATTCTCTCTAAATATTGCGGATAACGTCAAATGTACCTGAATTTCAGGGTCAGCGACGACATATTGCTTTAACAATCTATCACCAAATGCACGTGAAACAGCAAGAACACCTCCAACTCTCCAAGTTCCTGTTCATATAACTTCCGGTGATTTAATGGCAACAACCATTTTTATTTAAATGTTATGATAAAGGATATGATGACCTCACCAGCCCACATCACAAATCCTCCAGCATCCTCAATTCGTCGTCGCTCATCAGTTTGGTCAGGCTTATGATCTCGGGAGACAGCAATGGCTAGATGAAATCAAATATTAGGGTAAATAATTGGAAGTATGGGGAAAAGAATCACAGTTCAACAAATCCTCAATTTTCACTAGCAAAACTACCACTCGCTATTACGTAAAATCCGCTGGTATAATAACTTACGTGAAAAGAGTAGCAAGAAGTGGACAAATCTTTGATATATTAAAAGCAAGAACTTATTTTACCAACTATAGAAACAATACCATGAATAGAATTATAGAAGGGCCAACTCCATTGCCAGATAGTCGGAGGAGGGAGAATGATTAAGGAAATTTCCCACCTTGAACATGTTCATGTTCCCCTATTCACTAAAAGAATGAGGAAAGGCATCATTCAAGCAATCAGATTCATTCCAACATTTTGTAAAATAAAAAAGATCCTCACATTACTTAAAAGAGGAAATTCCAAGAATCAAACAGGTTTACCAAAATATGAATTAAAATAAACATTAACGACAGGGGAAGGAATAGACATTCTCACCAGTGCCACCCCGGCAAATAACAGCTCTAGAATCACCCACATTTGCAACAAGTAAACGGTCGCCAACTAGGATGGCAGTGGAAGCAGTTGATCCAGCATCTCTGTTTTGGTTATTTTCTGACTTCAGAAATTCTGTGTCTGTATGGTTGTATGCATCAGCTGCACAAAAACAGTCATTCGAATTAGAGATATAAGAAGATTCGGTTGGACGAGAAAATCAAAGAAGATTAGTATGATAACAATGAGAGAAAAAAAAGAAAGAGAGAGGTATACCTATTGCTGATTTGGTATCTGATATGAACTTTGGATGCCTGATCAGATTACTAAAAAGATGGTGTTTAACATACTCAGCAGCCCGTGCACCCCCATGACCTGAGTCAACAAAAACGAGAAATTTAGAGTTATGCCCTGAAATTACCAATTATATGCCTAGCCACAATAAACAGCAGGGCAAACACATGCATGTATTTTGAGCAATCAATAGCTTATCAAAATCTTGGGTAATGGAACCACGAGTTATGCTGGAGGACACAACTTAGATCCATAAATAAAAGAGAGTTCATGATCAAGGTAAAAGCTATCCAATAAATAATGGAAAAGGTACAAGCTACGACAGTGAACAGAAGCTGGACAGTGTTGTGATAGAAACCAAATAGCTGAAATATATTGAAAGATAAAATGATAGAAGGACAACAATAATAAGATCACTGGACCCTCCCTCTCGATCCCTCAAGCCTAAACCACTCAAACAATTGTCTACCTTCTCCCTCCGATTATAACAAAACCCTTCTAACTAATTATTAAGATACCGTTACTATTATAGTAATATCTCTAATTACCCAAAAGCGCTCCTATCACATTGTATTGGTCATATTAATCCAAATACAATAAAACATCTAATGATCAACAGATATTCACCTACAAGGTGAAACCTCAATTTTATAAAATCCTAAAATTCAGAATCACCCACTATACCTCTATATTGTCTAATGCAATACTAGACAGAAGCTTTACATTATTGAAAATGCAATTTATTCCCTTTTTCACGAATACACCAATACAAAATTAATAGATAAACATTGATAAGAGAAGGAAAAATTTTTGTACCATCAAAAACGCCAAATAGGCCAACTATTTCTCCTTCCACGCCATCTATTCGTGTCTCGTAGAAATCTTCCATTGAAGATCTCTTCCCTGGGGAGCTAGCATACCCGTAGCTGAACTTTCCATTCTGACTGCAATTAAGTAAAAACATATTTTCAGTATACCACGTGTTTTATTCTTAAAATTGATTACAAGGCAGAAGTAATAAAATTCTTAAATAAGTACAGAAATCAAATCAGTAATCTAAGAACGCCCTATAATCAAAACTCTCAATCAGCCAATGAAATTGAAATTTATTCCTCGAACGGGAGCTGGAGTTATTACAAATCAACATTATCCTTTCCAGGCAATCGCAAATTTCAATTGACGAAGGGACCGTGCATAAGTTCCAGAGCAGATATCATTAAAGAATCTAAAATTAAAGGCAGTTTATACCTTAGAAACCCAATCAACTGAAGATATCTCTAGCAATCTCTTTCACAACAAGGAATACTATTCCTCGACAAACACGTCTAAACTTTAATAAGATTCTGTTACTTGGACATCCAAATTAAAAGGAAACCACAAATCTACAGAAGAATACATTTATCAATCTAAACAGCTTTGGATCCACCAGACAGATTAACGAAGAAAAACCACGAATCTACCTTAGTCCGCCCCCGCTAACAGGTGCCTCCTCGGCAGCATGAATCTGGCTCGAGCAAGACAATACTGAATTCAGATAGCCCATATTGTGTAGGCTCTGAAAATGCCCAGCTCCAATCTCTTCGATCAAAATGGAACAAAGAAACAGGAATATAAATAAAAAATATCTAGTAGCTATGGTTACAGATGTGGAATGAATAAGCCTCTCCTAGCATGCCCGTGGAGCCGCCCAAGTAGAACTTCAACCTGCAGTTATCCACAACTCTCCGATTTCAGATTACACAACGATAAAACGGATCTTATAGCTCCAAGAACAAGCACGCCATGTGAAACCCAAAAAATTCGGCAAAATTCCGGCAACGATGATAATTAGAGCAATAATTATTACCAGGTAACGAACGAATCAACACGTTAGGGTAACACAAACAAGAAGACGAAGAGGAGATGAAATTTTAGAGAGAGAAATTACCTGGTGGAGGAGAAAGAAGAAGAAGAAGAAATGAAAGGAAGAGAAAAAGAAGAGGGGGGACAGCTTAAGGAGCGTTTAAAGGAGAAAACGACGAGTCGACGAGAGAGGATGAGAGAATGGGAAGACAGGGGAGGATTCTGTTGCAATTTTTGGGTTTTGATTTAATTAATAAAATTTTATTTATTTATTATGGGATATATTTTTAAATTATATAGTAGTATTTTTATTTAAAAATGAAATAATAATAATAAATAATAAAGTTAGAAAAAAGGGAGTTTGTTACTTGGTGACTCTAAAAAGAGAGGGAAGGGGTCATACGATTACGCGTCGGCGTAGGAAGAGGTGAGCTTACGGTAGGACTGAGTCAACGCCACCGTGCGAGTTTTTTTTCCGTAGAGCGAAGGAGTGGCCGTCCTTTCTCGGGCCCACACCGCACACGTGGCGCACATGCAACAACGGTACACGACTCTTTTTGTGAGCCTCAACTCCATCCCTATAACTTCCCTCTCTCTTGATCTATCATTCTGTTTTGCCTAGACCGACTTTTGACATGGTAATAGGTATTTTCTTTAATTATAATTTTATAAATAATCGGAGACTGATATCTTCGTACTAGTGTCGTTTGAGGAGAAGTCAGGTAGCTCGACTCCTAAAAAAACTAAAACATTTGACTTAAAGAAAAATAAGTAAGGTTGGAAGAATTGAATTCGAGCGAAAGTTCTATGCTCGAATGGATTGTCTTTTTTTTTTGGTTAAATTACAAATTTTGTCATTCATTCAAGAGTTAGTGTTCAATAAATCGTAATAGACCATACTTTTTTAGTATCGTGTCTGTTAAGGATCCTACATTGAAAATAAAAGGGACCTAACAATAGTAATAAACATGGACTACTCCTCTCATTGTCAATTGGTTTTGAGATGTAACCTCATGAATATTAATATGGTATCAGAGCCCAAAATGCTCAAACGAGCCACCGGTCCAAAAATGGGATCCGGCCAAGTTTTAAGATGGAATCCCATGAATATTAATATATTAGAAACAACAATAAATTAAAAAAAAAATCCATTTAACACGATCCTAAAATTTGATAGACCACACACTTGCAATTTAATGTATGATGTATGTGAATTTTTTTGAACTACGTGATCTGTGGTAATATAATATTTTACAAACGAAAACATATGATATTAATTTATGCTAGCATATAAACTTTATTTATCACGGAATATAATATTTTCCAAACGAAAACATATGATATTAGTTTAGGCTGACATATAGACTTTATTTATGGTTGAATATCAAACTCGAGAAGTATAACCTAACTATGATATCAAAAGGGGAAAATAGAGACACTCGTAAGCTAACGGATTCTTTTTTGGGGATTGCCCTAAAATAGAAATCAAATTATTAGCCTTGCAAGCTTGTTTTCTTTTTTTCTTTTTTACTTACATATCTGCATGAGAAATTTCATTTTGTCATTTCTAAAAATTTAAATAATTTTAGAATCGTTTCTCGAAAATGAGAAACAATAAATATGAATCGTTAACGTTTATATTTCTAAAAAATTGAAAACGAAAAAAAAAATCGATAAAAACCGATTGTACGTTCTCAACAAGAAATATGAAATTTCTTGATGCTTTAAAAAGTCGGGAAAAACCTTTAAAAAGTCGAGAGTGGCTTTTTGTGACTAAAAAAAATGCGTCCGAAAAAAGATCAAACAGAGTGCATCCAAAAAGGACGCTCCCAAACGATTTTTGAGAAAAGGTTGGAAACTTTTGCGGACTCTAAGGAAAATATATTTTATAATTCTCCAATACACGTATAGGTATTAATTATATCTACCACTTCGAATAATTTAATAGTTTATATTAATTCCCCAAAAAATTTGGTAATTAAATAAAGAGGATACAGTTAAATGAAAATATGGATAATTAACCAACTGTTAAAACTTTAATTAATTGCAGACTGGATTGCTTAATTAATTGAATTGCAAGTGATTACTTGGAAGCAATACCGAAACCGTTGGCACAGCTTGAGCATTCTTACACCTCAAGCACACGTCTCCATATAGCTGGAGTTAATTGCACATCTACCGGGTGGTTTTTTATTATTTAGTATTTATTATTTATTTTATAAATACTGTTTTGTGAAAAAATAAAATTATTTTTTAGTTAACATATTTGAGTATTTTACTCGATTAATCAATTTTAATCTTCAAACTTCATTTTCTTTGTTTTTCATTCGCAATTTACGAAATGAGACAAAGGAGAAAGGAATTAGTTGACTTTAACGAAATTTGTTACAAATAGTTGGGGGCAGACTCCAATCTAGGCCAGTACCCATTTTTCTCCAACTTCATTGGAAAAATCATTTTTGTCCTATTATATTTGTCAATTCTAATCGTTTTGTAAATTGCATTGTGTTTGCTAATGGATAGACTAAATTTAAATAATGTAATTAAAACATTTTAATGTTAATTAGTATTTCTTAAATATTCCCCAGCAAACTTAAAACAACTTTATTTTTTTTGTTAAGTTGAGGCATTAATTACCCATTTTATAGGTCGAGGGTGTGATTCTTATTCTCACATCATAATTAGGCTACTCAAGATAGCAATAATCATGTATGTCAAGTGGAGGACAATAAGAAATATAAAAAACCATAATATTCAAATTACCAAGTTGTTAAAGTTAGAAAAAAATTATAATTATCATTTTTTCATGAAAAAAATTAATAAACTAAATTTAAAATATGCAAAATAGCAAATTTAAATATAACTCAACCGATTAAAATAACAATATTCGATCAAAATATCGTAAGTTTGAACCATACCCTACGTAGTATACTTAAAAATAAAGAAGGTAAAAATAAACGAAATAGTATGATTAAAATTGTAAGTAAATATAAACTGAGGAATTAAAAACTAGAAAGGTACTTGTTCTTGACTTAGGTTGTGTAACGCAAGACTAAGAAACTAAACCTTTTTTTTAGTATAATATAACATAATATAATAATATTAATATTTTAATGCTTTTTCTTAATTTTTGGTCTAAAATTATATATATTTATAAATCTTAGTAAGGTTTTAAATTTTAAACTTACCCAGATAAAATATAAATGTTATTTATTGTTGAAATGTATATAATGACATGTGTAAAAAAAAAAGTTACGTTCCTCCGTGAAAAGAAAATAGTAACTCGCTGTTATATATGATTTTTTAGTAATAATTTGTGAAGGTAAAGATTCAAATATATGAATTTTATATCGAAAATATATACTTTAATGGAACTATATTGTGATGGACCATGTTATAAATTATATTATTCACTCTACATAAAAGTAGTCGCGTAATTTTGTGAAACTAATAATTATAAAATATCTAAAAAGTTCGGTTGGTTCGGCGTTGGTCATGTCATGTCCGCCAGCTACACTAGCTTAGCTCCAGTCAAAATCGCGGGTTCCCGGCGAGATTTTACTGACTACCCGATCGCATTTATATTTTTCTTCGCAATAAATACAAAACGAAGACTTTCTTCCCTTTTCTTTTCTTTTCTTTTTTTTAAATAATCTTCCAAGACGACATAAAACTCCTCAGCCTCCCTCCCACTACGTTTGCTGCCACATGGCACTAAACAAATTCTCTCCATTTTCCCATAAATTGTGCAATTTTCTTATAGGGTCTATCCGTTTTGATATTTTCTTTTCGACCCCGCTGCTTCTTTGGGGTACGTTGGTAAATTACCTGACTATCATCGATTCAGAAATCGTCGTTCAAGTCAACGTGTCAACCGACCAGGAAACGATATCGTAATTTCGAAATACCCGAACCGGCCCACGTGGCACGTGACCGCTTTTTCTGTTTCCCAACCAACTACGTGTCGTAAGCTTAATGGTTGGTATGGTACACCTACGCCTATTAAATTTGAACTAAGGTTTCTTAAGACTGAATTAAAAAAAAAAAAAGAAGTATCACTCAACTTTGTTATTTTATGGTAAGTTTCCATACTACCCTTTTCTAACCGTTTCAAAAAGTTTATCTAAACAAACGTTATTTAGTATTTTGAAAGAAAAATTATGTGGAGAGAATTGAACAATGTAATAATTAATATGGATGTTTGTCTACGATGAGTCGCTAAGAGAAATGTAGAATAAATTACTACTGCTTTTAAAGTGAGATTAAGGTAAAGTTGAGTAGATAGTGAAAAATCAAACTGTAGTAGCGATAGAGAACAAGACTTTTAAAACAAAGTTAAATATGAAAATATAATAAATGTGTATAAGCTTCCATATTAATTGTCGCATAAAATAGATCTACAATAGGTCGAGGCCCATCCACCCTCAATTTTAAAATGATTAGTGTTATAACATTGACTTATATATTTACATGATTAAACTTTGCACAACCGAGTCGACGACTGGCAATGCATGCATTTTTTGTTAAAATTTTATACTTATTATATATAGTATTATTATTAAAAAAATTTATTCTACTCTTTAAAATCCATCTATGGATTCAGGAGCTGAAGTTGGTTTAAAAATACACGAAGATAAATCTTATTTATAAATATAAATATGTCAAAATTTTAAAAGTGGAAACAAAACACTTACTATAAATAAACCAAATATATATATAATTTTGTAATTACTATTAATTTGTTACTATATCCACTTAGTTATTTAACATTCATAAATGCATTGTTTTTTAAACTAGTTATGCCAATTACCGCTGAGTTATGCTCCCTTTTTGAAACTACGTTATTCATTTATTACTTAATCGATTTAAAACTTTTCCATCAAAATAAAACAAAATAACAGCGATATACGTTTTTTAATTAATGAGCTAAAATAGAATAAATAAAAAAAATAATGATATCTTAGGAGCTCACGGATAATTTGAGATAAAAAAAAAGACATAAAAACTAAATAAAACTTTTAAAACTGCCCGGATTAAACTGAAATTAAAGCCAAATTATAGGGACCGAATTGGTAATATAAAATAATTTTATTAATATGTACGGTAAATAGGTCACGAGGGCAATCTGAAACCAGGCCGAATTTGCGTTTTAGTTGGGCTTTGAGAGGAAGATCCATGGACCATGGTTTCAATGGAGGCGGTGGATTCTCGTCTTGACATGTGGCTCTTTCTCGGGCCGATGGGACTCCATTAACGACGATCCATTACGCTTCACATTGCTTCTTCACCATGGTTTATTCATTATTGCGCCAAGTTTCATCCATCACTCACTTTACTTTCTCTTCCGAAGCTAGCAAATCAAGTGAATATGAAAATTTCGTTTGCAAGCCAGGGCATATCATAGTCGCGATCCATCTCTATCTGCAATGGCGAACCAGCAACAGATTGATTCAAGGCCGTGGATTCTCGATGTCGTGCATTTCATCGTTGTTATTCTAATAGCTGCTCATGTTCTCGCTCTGGTACTTCAATCTCAACTCCAACCTCTACTTTTTCGTTCTACAAGACAGTCGCTACAAGTGTGAAATTCATCATTTGATCTCGTAGTTTTGTTTTAGGCCTACTGGATTTACCGATTAGCGACGGATAACAGGCCTCAAAGGAGGAAAGCACATTGACGAACAGTTTGATTTACTGAACCGAAGATAAGAAGGTTAGTGGAACCCTAATTTGTTGAATGTTTTCGAAGCTCATAGCTGCAATGCTAACAGAGAAACGTGTCTGGTACCATTTTCATTATCTGTTACTGTAACTAACAGTTGAGGATGATATATAATAGATCCTTTCTTTAATGTCGATCGATTTAGGTTGCCTCCTCTGTGTAAGGGTTATGCCTTTGATCTAATTGATCAATCTACGTGTATCTGGTCCTCTAACTCTGCGCCATGTTTTATTTTGATATCAAACCGTTTCTTCATCATCCAGTTGTCAGTCGTCTACAGTAAAATCAATATTGGGAAGTTAGAAACTCATGATCTTCTATAAATGTTGCGGTATTCACTGAATGGCTATACTGTCCCCTTCACTCGTCAGTACTTAAAACTGTTCAATATCGAGGGAATTATAAAATTGAAGCTGGATTGTTATTGATGAAGTCTATCGAAGCACTTCTTACGTTCTCACATGAGCATGTAGTATTGCCTATTCCCTTATTGTGGAATAATAATTTTCAACTGAATAACAGTTTATTACCGTCCAAGAGATACACAAGATTGGCACAGAGCTTTCAGATCTTATATTTGGAAAGATATATGATATGCCCTCTGCTATCTGCTCTCTAATCATAGTTCTAGCTTGAATATGTTTCCTAGTAAATTAGTGGCAATTCCTATCTCTCTTTCACTGTTATGATTGATATATTATCGTGCACAGTATATCGGTATATTCAACTGTAGAGAGGATCAAAGTCTATGTTGGTTTCCCTGCTTGGAAGTGTCCAACATAGACTTTAAAGTAGGCTAGTAGCACAATGCATGTAAGAATAAGAAACTCTCAGGAGAAGTGAAATATTGAAAGATAATTGAATTGCAGCACTTTGGAATATGAATATCCATTAAGAGTCGTATCTTGTGGGTATGGTACTTTGCTTTTTTCGAGTTGCTACGAATTGCATGCACGCCTAAGACAATGAAAACACCAATCTTCATGTTATGGCTGCATATTCTATAGTTTTATTTCAGTAGCGTACCAAAGATGGCTTCTTTGCGTTCTTTATTTTAGATGTCTTGTTATTATCGATTCTTAATTTCCATGATCTGGCACAAGAATTGGCTAAGCTAGTCACATAGGCATATCAGTAAGAAGTTTGTTGTGTTGATCCATTATAAACATAGAGTTGGCCATTTCAGCGTTGCTACCTACAATGAGGTCGCCCTATGATATGGAACTATGTGGTCCATCTTTTGCTTAGCATCTATAGAGCATGATGAGAAAACCATCTGCATTATATGGACAAAAATCAGTTTTTAACATCTTGCTACATAGATTCTTTAGCAATATACTTTAGTCTTTAACCTAGAAGTTAATTGTATATTTTTAAACCTTTATATCTGTAGTTATACCTTATCATTCTTGCAATTTTTATTACTTTACCTGGTCAGTTGATTTGGAATATTAGGTGCTGTTTGGTTGTGTCAAATAGGGAATAAGTTGACAAGGTAGCGCCATATGATTTAATTATCTTGGTTTTGCTATAGAATGTTTCTTTCTTCAAAATTTTAGTTTGAAAACTCTGAAAGTGCTGAACTTTTGGGAAGGGTTGTCCGTGGTTGAAGCTCCAATATTTGGGGACGAGACCATGCTCTTGTTTGGTATTGAAACTTTGTATGTTAGTGAAATCTGTTGGGAGATATTCATTTCACTGAGTTGGTTAGCAGTATCATCTTGATGCAACTGTGAAGTAATAGATACTTTAATCGGTGGCAAAATAGTTGCAGCCTAGGTTTCATACTTTACTTTGGGAGATAGATTACTGATATTATCGCAAAGAAAGCAGAAATATAGAAGTTTATAAGCAAAAGTAGAGCTTGTTTGGGTGTGGCATTGAAACTTCCATAAAATCAGAATTTGGAGTGAGTTTAGGTGCAATGAAACATCATGCGAATAAAAAATGGATCCACAACATTAGATCATCAGTTTTTTTGTTTTAAAATTTTACTTGTGCATGCTTCAGTTCAAATTAATTCATCTTCTTGATGTTGTACTTGTATTCTTTTTTGAACAGCCCAAAGGGAAACAGAAAATTTCTTATCTAACGTTGATCCAAATGAGTTTTTTAGTGAGTGTATTTTCAAGGATTTCTTGGGGTTCATTTGATCAAATCATCGTACTCGCTGACAAAGATGAGTTTTCAGATGAGTTTTCGCCAAGCTGACAAAGATCCTTTTTAGATTGGGACTGGATTGGATGAAAAATCTTTCTTAGAAACAAAGTCAGAATTGGAGATAGGGAGAAATTTATTTATTTCTTATTTTGATCTATTATTATATATTTGTATAAAAATTTTCCGATTAATTTAATACTAAAATATTAAATATTGTAACGAGTTTAATGATTTAAGCTAATCAATGATAATCTTAAAAAAAAAAAAAAAAACTAATCAATGATTTTTTTTTTGTGTGCGCGCGCGCGCAAATCAGATGGTTTATTAATGTAATAACTCTTGGAACTTGATCTTTGTAGTATAATTTTTCAAATCCACCTTGATTCCTTATGATAAGATATACGCAAAAGAGTCTTAGACTTAGGTGAAGGATTAAATTTAATGGAAGAAACGATTGTTGTACTTTTATATCTGAAAATACATAAATAATTAGTCATTATCTAGAATTAATAAAGTTAGTAGAGGAAATTTTTTATATTTTGTATTTTGGTCGAGAATATATAAGTTGGGCTTGTTTAAAGTTGGTGTAAAAGGCTGATTATTGTTTCATTATACCTAACGTATGAGTTCGGATAGATTTAACTGACCTGTGGTTTATTTTTTATTTCATATTCCTGGCTGAAGGTATGGTTTTGATCCCTGATTTTTTGTATTCTAGTATTCTCTCTTTGATGTCTGAATTTTTATTTTGATTCTACAATTATTAAATTTCAGACGTGATATTTCAAACTGACATCATTGATAAATATATATATATATATATCTGTATTATATCACACTTCTATAAGAACAAAAAATTTAACAAATAAACATTTAAGTTTTTAAAATGTAGGAATCAAAATTAGAATAAAAAGGCTTAGGAGTTAGGTATCTAAAACTTCTAAACTTAAGAGGACAAAAATGAAAAATATTCTATAGCTGTTCATAAATCACATTTAATTGCCCATAAATACTTTGGCCTGTTGTCAACTCTGATCTGAATTACAGCTCCAGAAAAGTCAAAATCTGCATATTTACTTCGGTAAAATCTCATTTAGAAAAAGGAAAAAAGAAAAACAGGAAAATCGGTGAAAAAAACCGAAGGATCTTAAA